ATGTATACTCTTTCCTAAGCAGAGGACTTATTTCATCAGATGCTGTGAAGGGACTGTAGGAAGCAGAGCTGGTGAATAGAAAGCAGTGACAGAGAATACGAAGGGCAGAGAAAGGGGACAGAAAAAGGAGGGGACACTGCTGAGAGAGGCTAGGTGGATAGGAGAGAGAAAAACAAAGCAATTAACCCATCGAGCGGATGCATGGTTTGTAAAAGGAATTCAGGTAATGCAGTGGTTTTCAATCTTTTATTATTTGCAGTCCTCTGAACTTGTTTTTGAATGGAGGTGCCAGACCCCTTTGAATTGTAAGTGTGTGTATTCACATACTTTTGATCACAGTCATCTTTCACAGATCCCTTAGATGGAGTCTACAGACCCCTTGGGGGTCTGCAGACCACAGGTTAAAAATGGAAAATTACATTATTCCACTGAGGTAATGGAATAAGAACCTGTAGTCCATGTTTAGACCCTACTTAACTCAGGCCCGTCTGCGGATAACATCTTGTTCTGTCATTTCCCATTCAAATTCATTTTTGAAGTGTTGTTCTCTAAGACCAGGCACTCTGAGGTCAGCAAATGTTCAGGGAGGTTAAAGTGTTCTGTTCCGGTCTTGTCTTTCTTTCTGGTATTGATGTCCCAAGTGTTCGTTCATTCTTGTTTAGCCAGGGAGCTGTAAGCAGAGGGTGGAACTAAATGACCTCCTGAGGTCCCTTACCGCTCTAATTTTCTGTGATACCTTACCAGTCAGGGTTGTGCATAGAGGGATTTGGCACTGAGAATGCACAGTAGATAGTCATAGGCCAGACAAGAGGTGGTACTTGTCATTAAGAGATGCCATGCTAAACATCCAAGTACTTTTGTTAGAGGTGTATCACTTTCTGTTAAGGAGGCAACACCATCCTTTTCTTTGGACCCACAGATTGGTTATGCTGAATATTCTAAGGTCTTCATAAAATTGACTGGTTGGAAAAACACTTGCAAGGTGGAATAAGTGAGTAAACATTTCCCAGATGAGAAATTTCCCCCTAGTGAAGAATACCTTGTTTTCACAAATAGAGCAAAACCTACTGCTCCCCAATAGGAGTTTCCACAGCAGAAATTAGTTCCAGTGATGTTGGAATTTGCCCTACAGTAAAATGAATGGCTGTCCTGGCATCAGTATATCTAAACCTGATATTGGCCAAAGAGTTTTGTCATTGTATCTCTATCTCTGTATTCTGGATAACAGTCTGATTTTTATCAACATACTTCAGTTACTGCCTTCTTACTTGCTAAGCTAAAGCTTTGACTTTATTGGGCTTGCTTAGTTGTTTAACCAGTCTCTCTCTGATGGATAATACTTAATAACTTTCAGGAGGCTTTTACATATACTTAACTATCTTAATTAAAGCCATAGTCAGATGGTTAAATGACACAGATTAATTTAAGAACTTGTGAAACTTAATTCTCTACACTGAAGAAAATGATTTCAGGCATTCGCAAGTGGAATTGAGGCTCTGGTTGCTGACTTCCTGTGAACAATTAGATTTTTTTCACCTCTCAGGATTTTAGAAAGTTTCCTCCTCCTAGTGTACCTGGACTCTGCGGGTCTGGTCTCCCTACCCAGTACAAGGGCTGTTGGTTCCAAGTTGCAGAGAAATGTTACACTGGGCAGTTTTGGCTTCAGTATACTGGGACTCTTACAGTAGTTATTTTGATGTAAAACACCAAACGCAGAATGCCTGGTGATGGCCCACTGCAGATCCTTTTCATGGAAGATTCTTGATTTTTTTTGTATACCTTCTTATTTTGGTACTATTTTTCTTAGTAGTTACCAACCTCCTTTGCCAAAAGTAAATGGCACAGAAAGTGGCTGTATCTGAAACAAACATTTCTAGATGGGCTAACATTACTTGCAAGTTACTCATCTGCTTCTTCCCTAGTAATGTGTGCTCATTTCCTTGGCACAAGATTGGTCCTCATGCCTGAGCTCCTACAAACAAAGTCTTTATATTGGAATACTAGCCAAAAACCTCCTTCCTCCTCAGTAGCCAAACAAATGCAGGGGTGGATGTGAGAGAGAGAGACAAAAATAAGCTAGTGAATTCTTGTCAGTACCTTAAAAATCTAGTCTGAGATCATTTTTTTTTTTTTTTTTAAACTACTCAATCCTGGAAGATTGAAAACAGCCTTCAGAAGACTAATATATAAACTAAATTGATGACTGGCCAGACATGTATGTGTTGGAGAACCCCTCCTGAAAAATGAATAGTATATATCATGTTTTCCTACACTTCAAAATTATTCTATATTTGCTCTGGGTGCAATCTTAATGTGGATAGGGAAGTGACAGTTTCTTGTTGACATTTGTAGCATTTCCTGTTGCAGGTTGTTTTGCAGGAGGAGCCTTCAAAAATAGCATAGCCTGTAATAGACACTGCAAATTCTTGTTTATCATAGTAACAATGTTGCATGACCAGCAGTGTAGCTAACTGGTCACACCTGAAGGCTAATTACTGCATCAATTATTTCATTTCTTCATCATCATGTCATCAGTAGAACACAGCCATGTCGAGCAGGGTTCAAAATACTGCTTAATCAAGTTTGAAAAAAGTGTTTATTTTAGTCTGGCTTTTGGTTTGGGTGATCCTTTCTGATGCCACCAATCAACAATATTCAGTGGCCCACAAAAGTATGTGTTTGTAGATATTCTCTCGACCATTACTTAACTGAATATTTATTTTTTTCCTTTTTAATTTTCACTGATGGGAAGGGATGGACTTCAAATAAAGTAATACAAACTTTTAAACCTCCCATTCCGTGCCAACTAGCTTCTCATGCAGCTTCCTCTAATGGTTCAAAACTGTCCAGCTGTTTCTCAACCAGGCCCTTAAGAACAAAGTAGCACCAAACAACAGGATGTTGCATTTATGTGCCTTAGCATAGTTCCTGGGCTTTGTCTAATATGGTCTCTCCCCCTTATAGGGGACAGATTGGATTGGCACTCTGTGAAGTAAATGATAAAGTGGCTGGTATTAACAGTGCAAGTGATAATCACAGCTGAGTCTTTCTGAAATATTTTGTTAAGAATACCAGTTACACGTGATGCATTTATCATTGACATCTGCAGAGATGGTAGAAGGCTACAACATTTTGCCTACGTAAGCCATGGGTTTTTAAGTAGATTTTTCTTAAACTGCTAGGGTAGATGCTGCCTATAAACCCATACTTTAAGTTTGCAAGGTAACGAGTCTAACTCTTCTTGCTACATAAAGATAAAATCTGAATTAGTGCATGCAGATAGACCAGCTGATAGGATCTCTGAGTCCTTGGGACTTTTAAGCAAGAGAAATAGGGGGCCAGTAATAAACATGACAGACTTGGTATGCCAGAAAAGTAGACTTCTTTGGAAAACAAAATGAGTAAAGCAGCCCACCCTCTCATCACCCCTTCCTGGCTTTCTTCCATCAGACAGACCAGTGGACTAAAAGGCACAGTCTTGACCATCACAGCCTGAGTTACCTTTTAGGTTTTCATTGCCTGGAGAGATGTCCAGACCAGATAAAATCAGGGGAGAGGCACTCAGCTGTTGCTCCCACCCCACTCCCTCGGGTTTGGCTGTCACCTGAGCACCACCTGTGGCTGAAAGACAAGGCAGTTTGCACAAATTATTTCCTGATAGCTCAGATGAGGTGAAATACACTGGCTGCATCCAGACAAGTGTGACTGTGCAGTACGTGGTACTGCAGACCTGTCTATGATACCACGTATTGCCCATTCACGTGTGTTCTGTGCTGCTGCCTTGCAGCACAGGGTTGGGGGGTTTTTTTTGACCCCCCAAAATCCAGGGGTCAAAGAAACCAGTGCAGAAAAAAAGTAGGGCAGCACACATGGGGACAGTGTGCATCACCCAAAACCGGAGCCTGGCTGGCTGGAGCTAGGCTTCAAGCTGCAGGAGTGATGCAGCTGCAGCTTCCCTGGCCTCCAGGACCCCAGGTAAGGCTGCTTGGGTCAGCAACTGTGTTGGCCTCTGCCTCCCCTACCCCACCTGGGGTAACCTGCCATGCACCAGAGGGCAGATAGCACGAGCATTCCCCGAGGGACCAAATCTCCATGCTCATCTGGACGTGGCCATTGCGTCCTAATAAAGACAAGGCCAGAAGCCAAAAGAGGGAGATACAGGAACTAGCTGCAAAATGACCGGTGCAGTCCCACAGCTCAACTAAATGTAATGAATCAGTTCCCAGAAAGGCATGCTATGGAGGATGGGGGAAATCTCATGCCCAGCTAACCCCACACATGATGTTTTATTTACCAGCAAGCTGTTCTTTGGTGAAGGATGCACATGAGGTGATGCATATTCCAAACATATGCTTGGAACAGTCATAACTGAAGGGTAATAAGTTGCATGAATTACTCTATCCTGTTGCAGGCCTGGGTCAATTTTAAGCAGGCCAAATCTCGTGCAGTAATAGGCAAATCTCCCATGCATGTCTGAGGATTTCAGGAAAGTGGGTTAGTGCTGATGAGCCTCCTGGTTATTGGTTTGAAACACAGCAAGGAGGAGCTTAGTCAGAAATAGTCTAAGTAAGTTTTAATTGTTGAAGGCTAATGTAGAGCATAAAGTCATAATTCTAATGGAAGCTAGTTCCTCAGAACAGCTGTGCTAAACCAGTTTTTTGACATTTATTGAACACTAACACACATTGTTTACTGATATAATTATGTAGCTGTGGTGGCTGTCACTACTATGTACTCATACACAGTGTTTATAAAAAAAAGTGCACATGGTCACTGTGAGCAGGGTCCTCTGTGTTGTCGGATCTGCCCAGAATGCTTGTCCGCGCATCCTTACACAGCAAGTCTTGCAGGAGATGCAAGTACAGGGGAAATGCTTAAGTCTGAGGCTGGTGTATGAGAGCTAAGACCCCCTTGAGTATCCAAACAGCTGTATGTGCTACTTACTTTAAAACAGTTTTAGCTTCAACTCTAACTATAGTAATACTACTCTTATTTTCAAGGCTCATCAGCAGAGCAGAAAAGCTGACCGGTTGTTGGCAGCAGGAAAATATGAAGAAGCAATTTCTTGTCACCAAAAGGCAGCTGGTGAGTAGGCACCGCTGATGCTCATAGCCCAGTTTCCAAATGCCTCAACTGAAGTTGGGCATACTGAACTAGACATACTGTTTTATGTACTTGGAAAAACTAAAGTCTGGGGCTTCTGCTGGAATGTGATGTTTATTTTTAATTGTTGGTACATTAGTTTGACACTTTAATAACTTTCTTACTTGGAATTACAGGCTTTGTCCGTGCAGTGTGGCAAGTGTGTAACTTGTTTACCAAAAGTTTGTGGCTGACTGGTACTTGGTTATATTAATCTACTTAAGGGATCGGTTGCTGGCACCAGAAAAGCTCTTCTTCTAAGGGGTAACAAGTTCAGCTTCTATAGGTTATAAATCAGATGCCAGGAAACTCTGTAGATCCATCTTTATAATGGTTGGACAGTCTTCCCTTCTGCATTGGAACTTAGTTTATTTGGCTTCTACCTTAAGCACACGTTTAGATGTTCATATTTGATAGTCCATGGATATGCAGCTGGCAGTAGGGTACAATTGGTGTCTAGCAGTTGGAGGCATCTGCTTTAGAGGGATGGGAGGGAGGAAGAGGGAGTTAACTGGCACTAGTTGCAGGTTGCAGGCAGCGGTTAGATCTCGTATGGAGGCAGCAGATAAGTGACTATTTCCAGTGATGCAGGCTGAAAAATGGGGCACTTTTAGCAGATTCTGCTAAGTGTGACAGTGGCCAGTAGGGGCGTGCGAAATGGGCCGTATTCAATTCGGATTGGCCCAAATCGGGGACAGTGATTTGATTCATTGACTTGGATCGCTGTTCCCAATTCTATTTAGCTGAATCAGATGATTCGATGCTCATTCAAAAAATCAGCGATTCGGCCACAGACACAGCTCCAAACATTTTTTCTATATACCTCAAGGTAGCAGGCAGCTCGTGAATGCTGCAATGCTGGGGTAGATGGAGTGTCCCACAGGAGTGCTGCCTCCCCCACTCCATGTGCTCTCTGGCGGATCCAGAAGTGCTTCTGGTCCACTTCTGGGTCTGCTGCCAAGCATGCTGGGGAGCCCCCTACGCTCCTGTGGGACACTCTATCCACCCTAGCATCACAGCATTCATGAGCCGCCTGCTACCTTGAGGTAAGTAGAAAAAAGGTTAAAGCTGTGTCTACAGCTAAATCTCCGGATCTCTCTGAATCGATTCGGAGAGTTCCAATCCAATTCAGAGAGATTAAAGAGTCTCCTGATTCGATTTGATTCAGCCACCGAATCAGGTCGAATCTCCACCAAATTGAATCTGGACCGAAACTTCACGCAGCCCTAGTGGCCGGTCCCTGAGAATAGTCACTATGGAGTGAGGGAGGGGGTTAACAAAATCTGTGAGTGTGAGATTAGTGAAACAAACAAAATATTTACCTGGGCCATTACTTAACCACTTTCCACCCCGCAAGTGTCCTAGGCACTGACCTGACCACTCTGCAACCTGCTAGTAGTGCCAGTTAACTCCCTCTTCCTCCCACCCCTGTGGAGAAATGTCACATAGACAACACTGTTTTTGTGCTTGAGGGGTTAAGTCCTATCGGAGTCTGGCTGTTTTGTTGCTGAGCTTTCTCCGACAAGCTGAGCAGTTGGGGAAGAATAGAAGTTGGAGAAGAATGCAGACAAGTAGCAGATCCGCACAAGCAGAGACATCTCATACAGGTGGTGGTGTGTAAAGAATGACCTTTAAGACTTTGAGCTCTGAGTAGAGACACTAGAAAATCAGCAAGCACCTTCTTAGCACTGCACTTGTGTGCTTCAGCCAATGGATTCTGTGTTAAGAAAAGCTTTACCTTTTAGCTTTAGAGAGCATTCTAGCTTTCACAACTCTGCCTAAAGTCTTTCCCAACTTGTCTGTTTTTTGTGCAGCATACCTTACCGAAGCCATGAAGCTGACGCAGTCAGAGCAGGTGAGATTCCATTTAGCTTCAATTCTAACTACAGCTGCTGGGAAATGGAGAAGGCACAACTGTGCACCCCTAACGCTGTCCCTTGGACATGTGCAATCCCCTGTGTTCCAGTGTCATCAGGCCCCTCAATTACTGCACAGTGGATCCTAACTTAGATTTCCAAGGCACAAATTGCTGGTAGAGTAGCCAGGGACAGGAACCATGTAATTCTTCCCCCTCCTTGAAAACAATTGGGCTCCACAGAACAGAGGCAGTATAAAAACTGAATTGCCTAAACAATTTTCCCAAACCTTCCCATGATGCAAGAGGAATCTTCAGGTAGTTGGTTAAGCGGTCTTCCTGGCTCTCATCTTTTAGTTTTAAAGAAGCACAACTGTGGTCAACATCTGTTGGAGCTAGGCAAGGGAAAAAAGTTGAATGCAACATCAGAACAAGTGTCACTGGATGTCTCCCCTCCCCCCCCCCCCCCCCATTTCTATAGCAAATGGCCATTTTCACTGCAAGGTATAAAGTTACATTATCATGATAAGGGAGAAGGCAACTTCCCCCTCATCCTCTTGTCCTTGGGATTGAGTGACACGTGTCTTCTGGAAGAGATCTAATCTGGACCAGCAGTTCAGTGGCTTAGGAAGTTCTGAGCAAGTTGTGGTCAGACTGGTTAGTTAGTTACCCTAGCATTAACTGCCACCACCTAACCTAGTACATGAGCCATGCACTACAGCAATAGGATTCTTTTTCTAAAAAAAATTCACATTTTTCAATTACTTCTCCACTGAATTAACAAACACATTTCAGCTAACACTTCTCTATTTTTCTGCTTACCTCAGTTAGACTCATAGTTGTTCCCCTTTCATGTTCGTAGACCGATTCAGTTTTTGGACTTCTTTCGATCACACTTAACAATACCATTCCACTAATAAATTGTAGCTCTGCAGAATTCAGTGGTATGATGTCTAATTCTACTGTGCTTGGGAACATTGGGCATTCACTGGTATATTACCTATATAACATGCAAAGTTTCCCTTCAGGCAGGTCTGCCAAAATATTCAAGCAAATAAAGTTATACAAGCTTAACTGTTAATTCAGCCAATCTTGTTCTTGCACAGGCTCAGCTATCACTGGAATTACAAAGGGATAGTCATATGAAACAGATACTGCTCATCCAGGAGAGGTGGAAAAGAGCAAAGAGGGAAGAAAGGCTAAAAGTCCAACAGAATGTAGACAAGGATATAGCTGCCCATCTTCAGACTTCCTATAAGCCATCAGCTCAAGAGACTGATGACCAAAATGTATTGGTTACTACTACTCAGAAATACAGCCCTTCCTCAAAGAAGCATCTACAGGAAATTCAGGGAGTCTTTGACAGGGACCCAGATACACTGTTGTTTCTGCTTCAGAAAAAAAAGGAGCCATTGGAAACGTGTATTGGGAGCAAAGCTCCAAAAGATGACAAAACAATAATAGAGGAGCAGGCAACCAAAATTGCAGATTTGAAACGGCATGTGGAATTTCTTGTAGCTGAAAATGAGCAATTGAGGAGAGAGAACAAGCAGCTGAAAGCAGAACGGGCAAAACTCATCAAATCCCCAGTGGAGAAAGAGCTGGATGTTGATGCCGACTTTGTGGAGAAATCTGAGTTATGGGGTCTTCAGCAGCATTCAGAAACTACTGCTACATCAGCATCAACTTGGCAGAAGTTTGCAGCCAATGCTGGGAAGGCTAAAGACATTCCAATACCTAATCTCCCTCCTTTGGACATTCCGTCGCCCGAGCTTCCTCTTTTGGAGCTCTCAGAGGATATATTAAAAGGACTCATGGACAGTTAAACAAAGGACATGAGAAGTGGTCAGTGCAGTTAAGGGAAGAACCCTGGGACAGTGGTGATCCAAGGGTAGCAATAGCCCTACGGTGGGAGAAAAGGCACGGCAGCAACTTTTCCACTGTGCAATACAGGTCCTAGCTAATCTGTTTCACAGAGCTGAAGGGTACTGTAACTGGCTTAAAAAGGAGGGGAAAAAGCAAGTTCTTCAGTCCTCCTGACATTTCAAACCAAATGAGTGGCATTGGAGAACACTTCAAACAGCACAATCCTTCAGGGTTTTTAAGTACATTATATGTAATAGCTATATCTAGAATGCCATGAACAGAACTGGTTGCCAGATGGCTGCCACTTCATATTGAAAATGTCTCTCTCTCTCATGTGTATGCATTTTCATATACACACTTATGGACAAGTTTGCCAATTTAGTGCTGGTGCAACTCAGACACCTCCAGATGGATCTACATGCCACATGCTCTGTGCTCCTGATAACTGTTAACCTCAGATCAGTCAGGAGAGAATTAATTTTCGACTTTATGAAGGAACCAAGTTTTTAGTTCTGTGAGGATTTTTTTTTTATTTCTCTGTTTACATGACTAATCAGGGTGCATCGAATCTACTTTTGATTTCGGTTTAAAAAAAAAAAATTGTCTAAGAAAATATATACTCAAGGAAATCTGGTTTTCTGAGCTGCATGAATGGAAGTAATACTTAGCTGACAGTAATTGATTGAAAAAAATGGTTTGTTTACATCTACATTAGCTAGGAGGAGGATGAGACTAAGATGTTCTATGCTACACTCTTAAGCTGAACACTGCAATAACGATAACAGTCTTTTCAACTGTTGCAGAGTCATTAAAGAAACAAAGATTCATGCTGTCGCTGACATATACATAGAGAGAGAGTGACTGAATGTCTGTAGCCTCTCCTCTGTCAGTGAGTAAAGCAGTGTTAGCATAAGGTGAGGAATTCTTGGTGGTATATGAAATGACTCAACTCAGTCTGGTTCTTATGATGCAGATCAGGTGCCTAGCAAAGGAGCAGAGACTGCAGGATGTACTTCACCCCAAGAGTTTGTCTTGAACTGAGAAGACCGTCTCCCCACAGGAGCTTTAGGAATGTGCAGGATTTAAGTTTTGAGTGGTGCTACTACTATAATGTTTTCAACTGAACACTGTTCATACTACAACAGAGGTCAGCAGTCGGTGGGGGCTTTGCCTACACCACGCTATAGCCTAGAGGGAGGGAGTTTTGTCTGTGCTGGGCCAAGTCATTCCAGCCAGTTATGGCAAAAAGGCTGCTGACAGCTGTATTACATAAACTGTTCCAAGCCAACATGTCTTGGTTTAGTGACTAGCTAAACATATGTTTTTTTCTTTTAAATACCTCTTCTTTCCAGAACTGCAGGCTCCTACATCTTGAGTAGCAGCCTTTTGCTGAAAAAAGGTGAAGGCCACAGTGCTTCTACTTTTATCTCATCTGTGCAAAGTTTCTTACCCTGTTGCTTGCTGCTGAAGAAGGAGCGCTAAGGAAGAACCATAGAAAAACAGCCAGGACTTGCCCAAGGAAACCCACTCTTGATTCAGTTGTGCTGTAGTCATAAGCAAACAAGACACATTTTCCACTTCCTGAACATGCTTCTTTAGCGACAGAAAAAGGAGATTTTAGAGCCTTTTGAACAAAACAGTAATTATGTCAGCTTGTAAAATGAATGAAAAAAACCCCCAAAAAAACACGGTATGCTCCATGGGTAGCTGCTTAAGTAATTTGATTGAACTGCCTGAGATTTGAGTAATGTAGTGCACGAGGGCAAGTAGTAATAGCTGTCTGTGCTCCTGTACCACCCAGAGCTGTTGCATGGCATTCTCTTGAAGCTCTGCAACAGTAGGTCACTGACTCAGGAGCAAGACTGCTGAGGAGCTTGTATGCTGCAGGCATTATAACCTTGCTCTCCCTGTCAACCTGAAAACCCTGTATCTAGAAGACAACATTTCCTTGAGCATGAGTAATATGTTGCATATTCACCACAGTTTGAGGACCACTGAAGAACCAGGAGAAAGGAAGAAGGCAGTAGCAAGCCTCCAGCTTTATTCATTCAGTTCATAATAAAGATGAATATTCAAACAAGTATTTCCCTGGCCCTTGGAGGAAACTTCCCACCTCCAAGAAAGTCCTTCAGCACGTGTCAAGCTCCGTGGTATGCCCACAGTAAGTAGTGCAAAACACATATTTCTACTTTTCGTCTACAGCAATTAACCAGAACACCTGGAAGCTTCATTGGCTTAATATGATGGTCCGAGTCTGTTTACACCTTGATGAACTCTGCACTGAAGGCAGCGTGGCACAAAGTAAGGATGCAGAGCTGGTTCCATGTTGGCCCCACTCCTCCTGCATATTGGGGAAGTAGGTTACTTATATGAGCCCCTTCTCACTTCTGTAATAGCAACATTAACACACAGTACTTGGAAATCCTGGAGGAAAAGCAAAGTGCTGAATATGAACATTTCCAGGCTAATTTATTACTTCTACTCTAGAGAACTCCTGCTGTTTTCCAGTTAAAATCTGTATTCAGCTTGAAATAAGCATGTGGCCTATTAAAAAAGCTGCTGCACACTGATTGTTATACAAGGTGCCAGATTTCTTAATGGATAACCCTGTAGCTAAGTGTTTCTACTGAATCCTTTCTTAAGGCCTGTCTCTGGTTAGCTTACACTCTAATACAGGGTTGACAATATTTTGCAACATTTTGTCACCTGTGGCACTTGCAACCTAGCCCATGCCCTCGCTGCTTCATTTGAAACCTGAGTCACTCCCCGCATTCCCCTGAGCACTCGCACAGTGCTGCTGCCACCAAAACACAGCAGAAGCCCTGTGGCTCTCTGGCTTGCAGGTTGCTGACCCCTGCCGTAATGTTTGTGGATATTGCTCTTTCTCCACAAACATCTCATCCTTTTGTGAATCCTCCTAAGCCCAAGCCCTCAGTGAATCAGTTGGCGATGAGTTATACAGGCTAAAAGTGAGAGGATTTTGCTGTTATCAATTTTGGATGCACGACCTGTTGGTTTGTTTCCCGGTTTCTGTGTTAAGAGAGTAAATAGGGGTGTGCCCAAATTACTTCCTCTGCTACAGCTAACTCCAGATTACTGTTGTCATATCCATCCTCTAAGAAGTCCCACATTTTTCCTCCTCGCTGTGGCCTGGTTTTTCTTCCCATGCTGCCTCTGGATTTTTTTCTGTTTTTACCACCTCCTTTGTGAAAAGGATTTTTTAGAACTGAACCCAGCAGGGCAGGTGAGGTACACTGCTGATTTGTAGAATGATGATAATTCTTTCAGTTCCCTATTTTCATATAACACTATTTGCTTTTTGACTGTTAACCAATGCATTCATTCTATTTGAATTGAGCTAGTGACGCCCAGGTTAAACCTTGCTTTGTTTTCATTGACAGACACTGCCATCTGGTGGACACGCAAAATATTGTTTGTGTCATAAGAGCTATTTGTTTTAATTTTCTTAAATAGCATATCATTTTCTTTTAAATTGCCCACTCCTAGTTATCAATATTGTTCTGTTAGAGAGATAAACATTACATGCTGTATGAGCAGTTCAGATCAGCAGAATCTGTGGTTTTTGCTGCTGTAAGTTTCAACTTGATCAGACAGACCTGTTAGTTAGGCCTGATCCAAAGCCTAATGTAGAAACTCTGATGGGGTTTGAAATCAGATCCAAAAGGCATTGTACTCAACACATCTGTAAAACTCCATGGTCCATAATTTCAGAGCGTCTCACCAAGAACCAAACTGACATGAGTCCAGACATTGACTTCTATTCCTAGAGCTTACTTCACCACAGAAACCACTGTTTTCTTTGGAAACTAGATATGTTATCCTTGATGTATATAGACAGCATAAGCTTTGTGAAAAGAAATTCTAAATACAGAGTCTACAAATACATCCCCATAGAGAGAAAAATCAATAGAAATCAGCTGGGAAGTGACATGGAATCAAAGCCTATCCCAACCATGCAATTGGTCCATAAAATATCACCCCCAACAATCCCTGATTCACATATTTTCCATACTGTTATAGCTGCAACATCACTCCAACACTACCAAAAACATTGCGTCTGTTTCAAACTTCAGTTTTATGGCCAGTGAGTTCTTTTAGTTTTTATATGAAATCTCCTTTGCTGTGAAACGCTGGATTTATTTTAGCAACAGTTAGTTGGATATTTTGAAAAGTACCAAAAATGGTGTCTCTGAGGTCACCTGGGCATTCGCAGTCCTATCCATGTTTACACTCGTGACTGCTTTTCATGCTTACCCTCCCATTCTGAAAGGGCACAGTAGGGGTGCTGAAATGAAGGAGACAAATCTATTTATTTGAATCAGTGAAGGCTGGTTAAAAGTATTAAACAGGCCAGCGGAGCTCCATGCTAATTTGCAGCTGCAGATGAAATTTCTCGCTAGAGTGGACTCAGGTTGTGGCAATATCTACCCAGTCAAAGCTCCCCAACTTGAGTTGGTCTAATAAAAGATATTGGATTTTTCCAAAGAACTTCTTCTCCCCTAACTTAGAGACATTTAAGAGAACCAATTTTTCATTGTGGTTGTTATGGTCTCTTGCTACTCAGGTGAGAAGTAACCCTTCCCTTTGTGGGAATTAGAAAAAAAATTGAGCTCTGGAGACAGCCCATGACCTGGCTGATGAACATCTCTGGAATTTACTGTTCAAAAGTGATGATAATTTTTTTGATGTTGACCAATGAAGCCTGGATAGCCACCAAATAAAGTTGACTTTGGGCTTCCACTTCTCATGAATTGGAAGGTAGGCAGGAAGAGTTTATCTTCCTGGAGACAAGGTGATGGATTTACTTTCTTAACCTCGGAACATTGGCTGTCTACCCTACTTCAGGTAGGAATTTGTTCTAACTAACACCACAATGCTGTCCTATCCTTGGGGCTACAAAAATACAGAATTTCCTACCTCAGATCTACTAAAGTCTCACCGTGAGATCTGCTAGGGAAATAGTTTTACACAAAAATTATGATAAATGCTGGATGGAGTAGCAGACAGTTCCTGAATTGGGAGAAGCAGCACTTGCAAGATGACTGAATCATGCAGGAGATGACAGGAAAAGGGAGGACATTAACTGTGTTTATGTGGTTGGAATATCCCAGTGACGCTCACTTCAGAATATTACAATGAAAACTTTCCTGTCTGACACTTATCCTGAAAAGACTTAAAAATGCAGCTGTTCACACAAACCATGTTGGGTAAAGCACCTGTTTCTGATTTGCTCTGAGAGGAGACAAATTTCCTGCTGGCAGATTAATTTTCTGTTGTGTTTAAGTTACGTCACAAGCTGAGCATCATCTGACCTTTGCAGTTTCCAAGGCTGCCTTGCTGAGACAAAAAGAGGGGAGGACAGAGAGCTAAAAAAAACAGCTTGCAACCACACCAAAAAAGTAAATAAAAGGACTGAAAACGGAACTGCTGACCTTGTTTCACCAAAGACAGAACTGGGGACCAAACAAGGGGGAAAGGTTTATTCCCAGGGTCCCAACTCTGGCAGGGAGGGCACACCTATTTAGTAGGGATTGAGGGGGAGATGTTCTATGATAGGGAGAACTGGGGGTTTTGAAATGCCCCTTATTGATCACAGACATGTTAGACCTGATCCTAACTGGGGGGACACAGTGATGGTGGAGAGAATACTGAAAAGTACCTCCCAGCCACAGGCCTGCAGGGCAGGAAGGTTGATAGCATTGCTACTTACAAAGAACTAGGACAGGAGAGGTGTTGGTAGTAAAAACTTTTGGCCCCATTGAGCTAGGATGATACAAGTCCTCTCAGATGAAGACAAGCAAAATTCAAGATGCTTTAGTGTAGATTAACTGGTGCCCTTCAAGAGAGCTGGTGGAGAGGGGCAATTGAACTCAGGCAAATATTACCTATGTTGTAGTCGGCATTCTGGTAATCTGAACTTCACTATTTTGATTAGTGGGTTCAGTAAGCATGAAAAGGTGCAAGGCAGTGATTTCAGAGAACCAATAAAGCAAGCCTGGTATGATTTGGTATTGCACAGAGCAAGAATTTTGGCCTTTATGTTTCTGACTATCTTTATAATTAGCTGTTCACTAGCAACATTCACTTTAATAACTTCCTTGTCTAGGAAAACATGCAGTCAATGATGCTCCATTTGTGAGTAATGCAGTCATGTTAAGTTTATGGTAATAATCATAGCTCTCTGTCTTATCATATACCTTTTGTGCCACTTTACCCCTTTAATTTGTTTTTGGCCTTTTAGTCATTCTCCCCCATTTGTAGTACATTAGTAACTAAGGGGAAGAATATTACTGCTCCAGGCAGAGTGTGTAGTGACATCCACAAGTGCAATTTAAAGGCAATGTTTATAAGAGTATGTAAAATACAGTCCTTTTTTAACCAGATGTTATAAACCATTTAACACAAATATTTTTAAGAGCTTTATACTCATTGCAACTATTGTGTAAACACAGCATACTGTATACATATTGGACATACCAAGTCAAATTCACTATTACATACCATATAGTCATCCATATACCCATTTGCCATATTTCTGAGCCGATCGTTTTATCTAACCAGTTCGACATTGTACTGAGACAGCATAGAAAAAGTACTTACTCCAACAATTACTCAACATATTTTTCCATCTTCTCCATTTTGTGTTCCCACAAGGGAATTGTTTTCCTGAAAGATTATCAGTATCTCAGCCTTTTCCTTTGAAACGCTAGCTCTAATACTCCATCAGTACCACCCAGGTCTGTATTTTTGTCACAGTCACAGTTCCACAGCAGAGAATTGTGGAACATGATGAAAGAGAAACAAGAAAAAGTTTAGTGCTGATCTCTGGAAATTAAAGTTAACTTGAAAATTGAAGGGTTCTGTCACCAAGCACTGAAATAAAAGACTTAATTTTTCTTATGTCCAGCAGACACGTACACTAGGACTATGGCCCAATACAGCTGCCCTGTGAAACAAAGTTCTGGTGGTCCCAATTCTGAGCAAAACAATGGGCCAGAAGAGGCGCAAACTAAGGCTCAGATATTCAGAGGTACTTAGGCACCTTACAATCATAAGTACCTCACCTGTATTGATTTCAATGAGAAGCAGGCACCTAAATATCTGTCAGGATATTGACTTAAGGGTCTAGCCAAGAGTGACACTCCTTGTTGGCTAATATATAAAGGAATAATTGATTTCACCTAAGGAATCCTGAGCCAGAAGGGAAAGGGAACTTGGATCAGTTGGCAGCCCTGTGTCCTACTAACAGTCCACATTGTTTAAAAGTAAATTTAGTGCCCCTGAAAACTGCTAGGACTTATAGCACTGGAAACTAAAGCTCTCCACCCCCAGAAAACATGCAGTATACAAGTAAGTTCATCCCTGCTGCTCTGTCTTAGGCTAGACTGAGAGGAACCATTTTTAAAAGGCTGGGAAGAAGGCTCCTGCCTATTTAAAATTAAGCTCCTGAGATTGCAGAAGTCAACTTTTTTCATACTTGACCAGCTGTCAGATGGCATAACTTTTAATTGATGCTAAACAAGCGGTCAGGGCAAAAAGCTCCAACCTG